AAGACACATACCAACAACATGATAAGTTGTTAAGACACATACCAACTATGTGTCTTAATAAGTTGACATGTTCCAACAACATGATAACTTATTTTTACAACTTTCTACCCACAAGTTGATAATACCTGATCAACAGCGTTTACTTTGGCTCCGTATTGTAATAACGTTCTCACTGTATCCGTACAGCCATTCGCAGCCGCTAGATGGAGAACTGTTCGCCCTTCCTGTAATTTCAAATCATATGGTGTTTATTTACAACATAATAACAACCTACAAACACCATATTTATTATTAGGCATAATTATATTTTAATTTTAACACTACATTTGTATTCATAGGATAGGAATTTTCAAAAAAGAAAAGAAGAGCGTATAATAGTATTTCAACTACACTATGCCCACTATATCCATCGCTAACGACGCGTTTTTCGCAATACAGAGCTCATCAGGCTGGCTGGGACACAACAAACATAGTAAGAAACGGAAAAATATTTACATTAATCGTTTGTTAAAACAACAATTGTTGTGATGTGAACGTCGTTTCTCAGCTGGAGAATCGTGATTATAATTAATTAATTAATTAATTATAATTAATTAATTTATAATTAATACTTGTAATTAGACATAAGTATCAACTCTAATTATTTTGTAAAACTACATTTTTTATTCAGTTCAAGAAGAACATGGTATAGTAGTATTATAACACCATGTTCGACATATTCCTTGCTGACGACGCGTTTTGCTCAATGCGTGGATCTACGCGAACACGTTCGTTATATACACGTCCAGGTGACTTGGATTAGACGAATCTAAGTACGTGAAAACAACGTATTATGTTTTCGCAGTTATAGAACTGTTTCAATGAACAAGAATAGTTTCATTTGCGTTTATTAATGATTAGCGCAATAGAAAGTTATTTATGTATTATTTTAAGATCGGTTTATGTTGAAGTTGAACCTGAAAATATGTAGACAAAATTGAAGAGAATTTCCACGAAAAATACGACGCTCGGCATGGCCAGATGGTTAGGGCACTCGACTCGTAGTCTGAGGGTCGCGGGTTCGAATCCCCGTTCCACGAAACATGCTCGCCCTTTCAGCCGTGGGGGCATTATAATGTGACGATCAATCCCACTATTCGTTGGTAAAAGAGTAGCCCAAGAGTTGGCGGTGGGTGGTGATGACTAGCTGCCTTCCCTCTAGTCTTACACTGCTAAATTAGGGACGGCTAGCGCAGACAGCCCTCGAGTAGCTTTGCGCGAAATTCAAAAACAAACAAACAAAAAATGTGATAACTGATGTATTAAATTTTCTAAATCAAAACTACGGATGCACAACTTGCATATTTCGTACGCTAAAACTCGTCAAAATATATTGATGTATACTTTTTATAATCCGGAATAGTAAACCTATTTTCAATCGCTACAAAATCTACGAATTCGATGTCTGAATCGAGAACGTTTTCGTGAAAGAGAATTTTTACGATTGTTTCAGCGCAAATCCACTCCATAGGCTATCTGTCCACTACGGGGAATCGAACCCTGCATTTTCGGGATGCAAGTCTGTCAACTTACCGCTAACACACTGAGAGAGAACGTTAAAAATATGTATACAGTAAAGCTCGCTGCTCTCTGGAATAAATTAAGTCGTGACAAGTGAAAGGCCACAAGGTCTTGATATGTTACACGAATCATTCAGACGTTTCTTGATGCTAGCTCACGCGTATATTGATATGTTACACGAATCATTCAGATGTTTCTTGATGCTAGCTCACGCGTATATATTGATATGTTACACGAATCATTCAAACGTTTCTTGATGCTAGCTCACGCGTATATATTGATTATAAACTTTCTTTTAGAATACCGTAACGAGTGGATCATTCGGGGTTTAGAGATTCTTCAATCTAAAAATCTATACTAAGTTCTAAACACTAATTTATGTAGAGTTATTTATGTCGAGTTATTTATATAGAGTTATTTGTGTAGAGTTATTTATGTAGAATTATTAATGTCGAGTAATTTGTGTAGTTATTCATGTAGAGTTATTTGTGTCGAGTTATTTATGCAGTTATTTATATAGAATTATTAATGTCGAGTTATTTATGTAGAGTTATTTGTATCAAGTTATTTATGTAGAGTTCTTTATGTCAAGTTATTTGTATAGAGTTATTTATGTAGAGTTATTTATATAGAGTTATTTATGTCAAGTTATTTATGTAGAGTTATTTATGTAGTTATTTGTATCAAGTTATTTATATAGAGTTATTTATATAGAGTTATTTATGTCAAGTTATTTATATAGAGTTATTTATGTAGAGTTATTTATGTAGAGTTATTTATGTATAGTTATTTATGTCAAGTTATTTATGTAGAGTTATTTATGTCAAGTTATTTATGTAGAGTTATTTATGTAGAGTTATTTATGTCAAGTTATTTATGTCAAGTTATTTATGTCAAGTTATTTATGTAGAGTTATTTATGTCAAGTTATTTATGTAGAGTTATTTATGTAGAGTTATTTATGTCAAGTTATTTATGTAGAGTTATTTCATTTGGCTAAAACATTGATTCAACTAGCTACTAAATTTTCTGATCTGATTTTGAAATGTCACTAACTTTTCATTCCAGCTAATAAGTTGATACCCCCACATTTTACCTAAATACTCATGTTCATTATCTGTCTATTATCGTTATATGAAGAAAATAATTATATAACATGACGCGAAGACACGTGTTAATCAGTTAGTGGGGCCAGGTGGTTAGGGCGCTTGAGAGTCGCAGGTTCGAATCTCTGTCCCACCAAACGTGCTCGCCGTTTCAGCCGTGGGGACGTTATAATATGACGCTCAATCCCACTATTCGTTGGTAAAAGAGTAGCCCAAGAGTTGGCGGTGGATGGTGATGACTAGCTGCCTTCCCTCTAGTATTCACTGCTAAATTAGGGACGGCTAGCGCAGATAGCCCTCGTGTAGCTTTGCGCGAAATTCAAAACCAAACCAATCAGTTAGTGACAAACAGGTAGTAAAATGAGAACTACCAATTTCTGTATACACTAAAACGAAAACTACTTAATTCAACTATACACTAAAACGAAAACTACTTAATTCAACTATACACTAAAACGAAAACTACTTAATTCAACTATACACTAAAACGAAAACTACTTAATTCAACTATACACTAAAACGAAAACTACTTAATTCAACTATACACTAAAACGAACACTACTTAATTCAACTATACACTAAAACG